AAGAGGAAAAGAGCATCCACATGCTCTGGGCCAGAAGAAGAACAATTCCCTCCTGCCCTGTGCTGTGCGGAGAAGGGACTCAGCCCTCCCCAGCTCCATGCAGGCCCGCACCCCGCGGGAGGAGGGGCACGTCGTGTTTCTTTTGGCGACGCCTGGGGACGCCGAGCAGGATCGGCCCCTTGGATAACGTGGCCATGGAGCTCGGATCCCACTTGCTTCAGGTAGTGCACGCCTTCCTCCTCCCGGGCTCCTCCTCCTCCTCCTCCTCATCTCATTCCCGAGCCTCGCCGGGCTGGGAGGGCAGAAACCCAGCGACACCGACCACTTGTATTCCAATTATTTTATTTTTTTCGCCTTTGATGCCCTCAAAGCTTTAATCAGAAGCGCCGGGGGTGTCCCCAGGAAGCCCCCGGGGGAGGGGACACCTGGGATGGAGCAGGGAGAGCACCTGAACTGGATCTCCTGGGGACTTTAGCACCTGAAAATTCCGCTGTTCACCATCCCGGTGATCTGCTCTGAAATTCCTCTGAATTCTGAGTTTAGAAGTCGGAACCGGGGCGAGCGTGCCAGCAGGAGAGGGGAAAAAAACCAAAAAAACCAACAAACTAAATTTTAATTTTTCAAATTTTTTAAATTCATTTACCGGGCGGGTTTATGGTGGGAGGTGAATTCCTGGCCACAGAGCTGCCGCTGTTTTCACATCCTCGACAGAAAATCTCTGCCCGGGCTCCGCGGCAGCGCTGCCGCCGGCTCCCAGCTTTGGAATGACAAACACAGTTATTTATTTGCTACCACAGAGCATCAGCCCCTCTCCTGAGGGGAAAAACAAGATTTTTGGGAGGCACTGATGACATCCAGGCAATGTCAGAGATCAAAATTATCTCCTGGGGAGGCATTTTTAAAATGGAAATTTTATTTCAAATAGCTGCTGTCCTCTCAGAGTCACGAGTCCACCTGGAAATGCTGACCCAGTTCTGTATGATAACTTGCATGATAATTTAGTGTATATATTAAAATACAGACCCAATTGTATAAAACGTTGTTGTTACTCCTCCTCCTGGCTGTTCCCCGTTTTGTCTGGCACTAATTGAATTTGCACCAAATTAAATGCCGACCACCTGTAACTCTCATTTTACAGCTCAGCTATTTCTGAATGACAAATGCTGAAGGTTTTAATGAACCCACATTTACTGCAAACCGGGTTTTTTTTTGTTTTTTCTAAGGGTTCTTAGACTGAAATTTTCCATGTGAACTTTCAGCTTCAATGTGCTCTCCTATCCATGAAATTTTGGGATGTGCTGCAGTACCAGCAGCATTGACCCAAGTTTATTAATGACACAGGGTAAAGCAATTGCAAGACAACAGTGTTTAAAGCAAAATTGTGGCTAAAACTGCAAAAAATTATTTCCCTTTACAATATTTCTAAAAAAATTTAATTTATGCTTAAAAAAAAAAAGGCAAAGAGTAATCTGGTTTCAATTATATGCTGTAGAGTCATTAGTAGGTCAGAGAATAATTTGGAATATTTTCTTATTGGGGTGGCACTAGAGATACATGAAGTAGACAGGATTTTATTGCTTCTCTTCCAGTTCAGTGACTTTAAATGGATTAAAACAGGTGGTTGTTTTACCTATGTACTGTAAAAATTATTTTTGCCTTCCAAATATATTTTCCAGTGATATTTGCATGTGTGGATATTCACTGTTATTCACATGGCAGGTGTTGATCAAAGCTTTCTATGCAGGGTACAGATAACACAGACTTTTTGTTATCAGCTGCTTTTGAAAAAATACCTGAAATTTGGCACTGAAAAATCAAGGTCTCCCCAAACTGAGAGGTTTTGTATCCAAATCATGTCCAGTTTTGGCTGAGCATTACTACATTATTTATTTTTTCTCATATAAATAGTATCTGACTAAATCAAACTTCAGTTTTTACTCACACAAGCAACATTTGCCTCCCAGCCAATTTCCTGTCAAGGAGAATTTGTAGGATTGGATCTCAAATTTGCGTTGGTTGAGGTTTACAGGCTGCAAGGATAAAACTTTATCACACTCAAAGAGAAATATTTGTGCTTATTAAGTTTTGGATGCTGGCTTTTTCTGCTTTCTTTTTTGGAAGTTCACATTGTTCCACAGCAGAGAGCTCTCTGTTCAGAAATACATTATTGAAAATGCAGCTAAATTTAAACATTGCTCGTGGTGCCATTAAAGAAATTGCAAATAGCAGCGAGCTGGGTCTGCCAGTTATGGCACAAAAAAAGGCTCATGCAGAGCCTGACTTCCCCTGAGCACCACAGAGCTCAGGATTTGGGCTAAGCACTAAAAAAACCCTGAATCAGCAGCAAAATATTCCCTGAAAGTGCAGCAGCAGAGCTGCATCTGCAGGGGAATGAGGTGGATTTCACAACATTCCTGTGTTTAAAGGAACAAAATCAGATAAAAGTTTTCTATTCCTCAAGTTTTGCTGTTTGCTGTTGTTGAATTCAGAAATCATCCTCCAAAATATTTTTTTTTCCCCACTGTAAATGTTTTGAACAGATTTCTTGCTTCTTACTCTGTGAATTTCTCTCTGTTTCAGACTTTGGATGGCTTTGTTTTCGTGGTGGCATCCGATGGCAAAATAATGTACATTTCAGAAACAGCATCTGTGCACCTTGGCCTGTCCCAGGTATGGGGGGGAGTGCTCTGACAGCTAAAGCCTGAATAAAATAAAACTGCTAAATGCAAATTTGGACCCTCACACTGCTGCCTTGCCTTTATACAAAGTCATTTTTTGTCAGGGCTGTTTGAAGCTTTCTTCTCCCTGAAAAGAGCTTTGGTAAAATACTCAAATTTCCTTTCCTTGCCACCACACCGCCCTGTCTTTATATCTGTTCTTGTTCATTGTATTTTACTCCTCATTACCTTTCAGAAGGGCCATAAATTAGATGATATTGCAAATTGCAGATGGAGGCAGGGCCTTGAAAGCCAAGCAATAGGGCTGAAATAAAGCTCAGAATTGGAGTCTGGGAGCCTTAGATTGTGTCAGATATTGAGGCTGCCTATGAAAGGGAGAGGAAATCTGATGTGGAACAGGAGTTTTGTGGCAAATGTGCTGGAGGAGGAGGGAAAAAAATAAAATAAAAATAAATAAATAAAAATAAAAGGAAAAGGGGGGCAGATTTATGAGTGTTCACATGGAATTCAGGGTAGTTTTTCCTGAGTTTTTCCAGCTCAGTGGTCTTTTCAGTAAAGCGTTTTATATGCTTGTGATAGAACTCATAAAACTCAGTTTACTACTGTTCTGCACCAGAAGTATGAGAGGGTTTTATGGTTTTTTTTTTCCTCTTAGATGGACATTTCTAATTTTTTTTCTTTTTTTTTCCTTCTTGGGATAGGCACAGGCGAAGAGCCTGAATTTATTGTAGAAAGTGACTTTCCCTACCTTTGTCTGTAGCTGAAATTCACCTGACCTAAAATTTGCCAAAGTTGCATAAAAAAAAATCCTCATTAATTTCAGCAGGCCCTGGATGAGACCTGCAAGAAACTGAAGTGTTCAGTTGTGTGTCAAACATTTATAAATAAATAAATTTGATTTATTTTAATAAATAAACAGCAGAGGAGAATGAGGAGATGAAAGTGAGAGACAGGAGAATATTCTGAAAGTATCTGGCTAATTTATCCTGTGGCTGTTTCAGTGGGCAGAGAGGGGAGCTTTAATAGTGGGGATTATTTGTGTACCTTAATTATTGTAGTAATCAGTATTTTAAATTGAAAAATACGTGGAGTTCTTTGGATGTGTGTTTATAACTGTGATATTAGAATTAGTGAGAGAAAATAGAACTCAAGAGGTAGAGAAAACAAGGATATAAACCCATAAAAACCATTTCTAAACCCCTGTTTCTCTAATATCTTTAGAAAAAGTCATTTTGGGAATAAATAGCCACCATAAATGGCCATTTACCTTTAATTCTTTTTACCTGCTAATTTTAAAAACGTGAGCAGGAAACATTCTTAGTTCAGTTTGTTCAGTTCACTCTGTTAAGGTTTGTTTTAGTTGTTTCATACCATTTAATTCAAGTCCAAAGTCCTTTAACTATTACTTTACTTGAAAATAAGCTTCCCTACAGAAGGGCCCTATTTTCTACTCCTGTTTCAACCTGAGTTTCTCTCACTCTGAATTTTTGCAAGGATTCAGGATGTTGCCTGCTCAAATCTAAACATTTAATCAGTGCCATTATCCCAAAGCACTGAGCATTCCCATCCATCCATCCTGGAGCAGAAACTCCCTGTCCTGTGTTGTTTGCTCCCTCATTTTCCAGGTTTTTTCCCAGAAATTGCTCTTTTGGAGCAATATCAAGCCACCAGATATTGCAGGTCTCAGTATTATCCAGTTATTTAGAGAAATTAAAGAATTATGGGATCAATGGGACACCAAGCAGACTTTGGCACATGGAGGAGGAGGGACCGGCAGTATCAAGTTTTAATCCAATTTATTCCTCCTGCTCATCTGCACTGACACAATTCCATATGCATGGAAATATCTTTAAATTCTTAGTGCAAGAGGTGCTGAGGAAAATCAGAAGGTTTGGTCAAGTTGCTTTTTGAAGGCAGTTTATTTAGCAAAATCCCAAACCTTTCATTTCAGCAGAGATTTGAAATAACTGAGTTTGAAATCTGTGGGATTGGAAATGTAAGGGGCTCTCAAAACACAAAAATTCACCCTGCACAGGGGTTTATTTATAAATAAGACCCCCAGTTAACAACTCATCCTGATTTATCACCAATCTGCTCTTGCCCTGCCTCAATATCCTATTTTTGAAGGGATAATTTTGCTTTAAGCAGCACCAGCATTAATTTTGGGCTGCTCCAACTCTTCAGGATATCAATCCATTAACCCTGGGATATTCCTGTCAGCTCCCAGGGCCTCCAAAGGACTTCTTGTTCCCACTCCTCTGGAAATCCCTGGGATTTCTGCCACTGACATCGAGGAGGATGGGATTGGGCAGGAGAGGTAAATTCACCCAGCCATAATTCCACATTCTATTTCCAGCAAATGCCCTCAGAGAGCTGCAGCCAACACAAGCTGAGAGCAGAGTGGTGCTGATTGTAAAAAACCCTTCAGAGTGGGCACAGAAAAGTCTTTTTATTCAATAATTTGACAATTAACTAGCCCACACATCAATTTCCAGTTCGAGTGCCATTTGTTTAAAAACATATGTTTAAACTGAATAAAAAGGCCATTTAAAAATATTTTTGCAGACTATTTTTGGAGGCCTCCTACAGTGGCCTTTATCTTCTGGTTGCTGCTGAATTGAACCTCAGCAGGAAGAAATCAGAGCTTGAGGAAAAGCTGGGCTGGCTAAACTGGTTATAAATTTAAAACCAGCATTAGGGATTGTTTTTAAGCACGACTTTGCCTCAGAAAAGGAGTTTCTGAAAAATCTACATCTTCATTTGTGGCTCTGCCACTTCATTTGTGGCTTTGGAGTTTGATTTGCTCCCAGCTGGAGCTGGAAAAATTGTAAATTTTGCTGTAGGACCCTCTCCTCCACCCCACCCTAGCCCAGGGATGAACTGACTCCCACTGGTTGGGACAGCCAATTTCTTGCCTCTTTTTTTCCATGGATAACAAACAGCTTCAAATTCCCCAATTATTTTTTTTTCCCCCCTCTCAGAGTCTAAAGGCACAAAAAGGAGAGGAAAATCCTCTTGTAAAACAATAGAGAAAGACAAATTTTTATTTAATTTGAAGGTCTGGAGCTTATTCCAGCAGTTTTCTGGATCCAAGAGGGAGCCAGGCTAATCTTTGACTTTTGATAAATCTTGAAATATTTAACCACAAATATCTGAGCTTTTCCAGGGGTTTATTTTGCTTTCATCCAATGAGTCTATGAGAGGCAAAATATATAATTATTTACTCTAGAATCCACCTTTTTAGTCCTGTGTGTTTATTATGAATCATTCATTGGCTGGGAAAAAAAAAATCTGAGTTCCTCATAAACCCCCTGTTAGTAGGAAATGCTGATATTTGGTATTTACAGCTATTAAAAACTGCATCAAGTTTTTAATCAAGTTTGTTGGGTTTTTTTGCATCAAGCAGTTATTAACTGCTTTAATAACCTGAGGCACAGGGTTTAAGCTTTATGAATTGAGCTGTATAATTTATATATTTTTAAAGTTTTCAGGGTTTCATTGTAGGCTTGAAAAGAGCCCCCAGCCCAGCAGGGGGGAGATTCCAAATAATCCATATTTTGGTTATTTGACTCTGGCTTTGCCCCCATCTCTTTGCTGGTGGTTTTATGTTTTCAAGTCAATTTTTAAAGTCAATTTTGGGGTCAGTGTTGTGCCTTTACCTCCTGCTGATTTTTCTGGGGTTGCAAATAAACCTATCAGAGTAAAAAAAATCTTTTCTGTGTTGATAACAAGGAAAACCAGTCATTATTTCACAAAGAATTTTAGGCTTGGAGTTTTGGACATAAACCCTGGGGCAGAAATGAAATGTTGGATAAAACTGTGACCTTTGACCCTTTGAATCCTGTGGGAAAACGTGCATTTCCATGAGGAATCATTTTAAAAGAGGTGATGAGTTGTGGAAAATCAAGAGACATCCATGAGTTTGACTTTTTAAGAGAAAACATCAACTACATTTGATGAGGTTGGTCAGCTTGATTGGAGATTTTTATGTTAGAAAGTCTCTAAACTGAAGGGAGAGATCATTTATACATTATCCATTAATTTATTTTTATTTTTTTTTTCTTTTTGGAAGGTAAATTCTCTGCTAAAAATATTTTCACTGCTTGGGCAAAATATTCAGGGGAAAAAAAAATCACTTTTAAGTGATTAAGGAGATAAACTAATGAGAAGAGGGTTGTAAGTGATGCTCCTTACACAGAATGGCAATTTTGTCATGTTCTGAAAATGAAATCTCCATCACCAGAAGAATTTTTAGATTGTTTTTTTATGTAGGTGATCAGGATATTTATGAAGATACCTTCATGTTCCTCCCCTTGTAATTATAAATAAACAGAAGCATTTTCCGGGCATCACTCAGTGAGATTTTGTGTTTTCCTTCCTCCCTGACAAAAAATTGGGATATGGGATGTTCCTGCAGCAAGGCCCCACCTGTTTCTGGCCAGAAAAGGAGCAGCCAGAGCTTTTTAAGGACAACTTTTAGAGAAAATTATATAAATGAAGAAATGTAAATAATCTCCTTCCCCATTCCATGTCTTTTTTTTTCTTTTTCTTTTTCTTTTTCTTTTTCTTTTCCTTTTTCTTTTTCTTTTTCTTTTTCTTTTTCTTTTTCTTTTTCTCTTTCTCTTTCTTTTTCTCTTTCTCTTTCTTTCTTTCTTTCTTTCTTTCTTTCTTTCTTTCTTTCTTTCTTTCTTTCTTTCTTTCTTTCTTTCTTTCTTTCTTTCTTTCTTTCTTTCTTTCTTTCTTTCTTTCTCTCTCTCTTTCTCTCTCTCTCTCTTTCTCTCTCTCTTTCTCTCTCTTTCTCTCTCTCTTTCTTTCTCTCTCTCTCTCTCTTTCTCTCCCTCTCTCTTCCTTTCTCTCTTCCTCTTTATTTCTTTCTCCTTCTGCCTTTCTCCCTCTCTTTCTCTCCCCTCTCTCTTTATTCTCTCTCCATCTCTTTCTTTCTCTTCTCCATCTCCCCTTCCCTTACATCTTCCCTTTTTTTTTCCCCAATATTTTTCCTAACTCAGCAGATTTTCAGTCTGATTGGAATATCAGACCACTGTTGATGTTTTTGTGTTTGCAGGGAGGGGCTGCTGGAAAGGAGCAGTGGGGGAATAGAGGTTAGGAGGGGAAAAAAAACCCCAAAAAACCCGAGTTTGCACAGCCCTGGGAAGGGACATTCCATGAATAATGCAGAAAATGGAAGGATGAAGAACATTTTCAGGAAGAAAAAAAAGAAAAGATTGCTTTGTGGGGTCAGAGAACTTCATTTATTCCAAAGAAAAGACAACTCACACAATCTGAGCAAAACGAGCAGGATTGGCGCAGAAGAATGGCTTCAATCACTTCACCTCTCCTGCCTCTGATCTGGGGGGCCCGAGGCACATCAGGCAGCTCAGAACAATCAGGCAGCCTGACACTCACTTCAAACACTGTGATGGCAGCAGCCTCCTGCTTTCCTTCAAATCTGAATATTCTTCAATTCCTTTTTTTTTTTTTTAGATTTTTACAAATTTGAAACCGACTGGGATTAATTTCTGTGCCAAAAGCAAATCATCCCACAGCTCTTCCTGTTCTTCCCAGATAAATTCATCATTCTCTGCAGCTTTCTTTGCCTCACCCTACAGTGACAAGGAAATTTAGGATAGGAATAAAGAAAATTATTTTCAATTTTGGTCCATTTCTGTGTGTTTTGTATCAAGTTTTGTGCAGCAGAGGAAATGAATTGCTAAAAACCTCAAAGCAACAGCATCTCCTTAGGATTCCCAGGCTTGGAGAAGATAAAGAAAGGAATTCTGTTTCCCCATTAAATCCATTCCTGCAGCTTTCTGGGGGCTTTTCTTTCTGGGTTTGGGGGATGACAAACAGGGCTGGCAGGGTGGACATGCAGAGCACGAGGCTTTTTTTGGGTTTTGTGCCTCTGTTATCAGTGGCAAAGGCAGGAGCACATCCCATGCAGGCAAAGCTCAGGGCAGGAGAGGGAATACAGGATATTTAAGGCAGATCTTTACTGTTTGTGCTTGTTTAGAGCAATGAAAATCCATGGAAATCTGATTTTTGGGTTCTCTCAGAGCCCTTGTCCTGCTGGCGGTGGGAAAACACAAAGGAATTGTGTGAGAGCAGGTGAGAGTTTCTGGAAACCTGGAGGAACATAATTTTAATTTTAATATTTGTCTTCTTGAGAGGCATTCATCCAGCTCAGAGTTTTCCTCCCGTTTGTGGCAATTTAACATTTCTACAGCTGCTCTAATTTATCACTTCACTTCCAGCCCTAACAGGAGCTCTTCTGTCTCTGATGCAACACCCAAAATTCCCATAAAAACCTCTTTAATATCAATCACTGCTGAGGAAAGGATTCATTCGGATTAATGGCTGTGGATTTGGGAGATGCTTTTGCTACACCCAGCTCATGTTTCAGAACTGGAGTGCAGGGTGTTTGAGGGCAGAAAATGATCCAGCTGCTTTTATTCCATGTTTTTTCCCCAGGTGGAGCTGACTGGAAACAGCATTTACGAGTATATCCACCCCTCAGATCACGATGAGATGACTGCTGTCCTCACTGCCCACCAGCCTCTTCATCCTCACCTCCTGCAAGGTATTAAACATCTGGGATCAAAACACAGTGAAAAAGTACAAAAAAAACCCCCAATCCTGAGGCTGAAATGGAACAAATTGCAACCCAAAGCATTCCATGAATCCATAAATTCATATTTATCCTGTTTGAAGCTCAAATGGGGGAGCAGCAGGAATTCAGAAGTGCGATCCAGGATTTTATGTTGTTCTACTAAAGGGAATAAGATAACCAAAATTAAATAATGCCTTTTATGCCATGAAGCTTTAAACAGGTTTTTACCTTCAGCCCAGTGGCTTCTTCATCTCTTTTATTTTGTCATCATGGCTGAGACTGCAGAAATCTTGTGGTGGCCCGGTTGTGCACAGCTCAGCTGCATGGTCAGAGTGGGAAAAGAACTAATAAAACATCAGGTAATCAGGAAATTGAAGGGTATTTTTAATATTTTAAAACAACTGTTAAACTCAAAGCTTGGGAAAAAAGAACTCAGACTTAATATTCTCCACTGTAGGAAGAGCAGAAATGGGTTTGGTAAAGGACTGGGGTTTAGAAAATCTCTTTTAAAAAGTGACTTTTGGAGGAAAATCACGTCCTCTCGTCCTGCTGACAGCCACAGAAATATTGACACCACCCTTTGTGTGTGAAGTTGTCACCAGTGTTGCAATTGCTGTGTCAGGAACAGAAACATTCTCATTTCTTTAGTCTGTGTTTCCTCTGGGGCAATTCTTTGAACCATCAAAGATCAGAACCAGTCTGGCCCCATCACAATGGAGCTTCCACTTGTATTTCATAATTGATTTATCAGCTGGATTTATTGATTTATCCAGTTTTTGTCAGTCTTTTCAAAGCACAGCTCCTAAAAAACATCAGGAATTTTGGGTTCTTGCTACAATTTTGTTTAGAATTCAATTTAATTTTTTTCCAGTTTTGGTGCCTGTGCCTGGTTCTGGCCTCTGTGATTCCAGCAGAGCAGAACCGTGTTCCTTCTAAATTCAGGGAATTTGATTGCTTGGGAGCACCTGGACTGCTCCAAATGCTGAAAATGGAAGAATTCTCTCAGTTTCCTTCTCTTTTCTTCATTCCCAAACAGGTTGTCTTGGGAAAAAAACACCTCCCTTGGTGTCTTGGAAAGGAAACTCTTATTTTTTTCAAAATCCTCTCTATGATTTTTTCCTACTTTGTTCATTCCTCTGTCAGATTTTTTTAAAAAATACCAATATTTTTAAAAAACAACATTTTTTTCCCTTTTTCCAGCTTACTGATAAACAGACACACCTCTGATGTAAATGACTTAAGGGTGATTTTGATGGTGGGACTGGATAATCTTTAAAGTCTCTCCTAGCCTCAATAATCCTGTGAAATCCAAGAGTTGTCATGCAGTTCTCTGATATCCAGAATTAGTAGTGAGATATTTTTATACCTACTGGCTTGGCAATGGCAGCAGTCTCCTGCTTTCCTTCAAATTTGAATATTTTTCAATTTACTATTGCAGATTTTTACAAATTTAAAGCCAGGAACAACTGACTGGGATTAATTTCTGTGCTAAAAGCAAATAATCCCACAGCTCTTTCTGTTCTTCCCAGATAAATTCCTCATTCTCTGCAGCTTTCTTTGCCTCACCCTACGGTGACAAGGAAATTTAGGATAGGAATAAGGAAAATGATTTTCAATTTTGGTCCATTTCTCTGTGTTTTGTATCAAGTTTTGTGCAGCAGAGGAAATGAATTGCTAAAAACCTCAAAGCAACAGCATCTCCTTAGGATTCCCAGCTTGGAGGAGATAAAGAAAGGAATTCTGCTCTATTTAGGGATTATTTTATTCTATTTCAGTTCTGTGTTTCTTCCCCATACAATGCATGGAGTGGGTGTATTAAAATATCCAGAATCTACAGCTAAATCTTTCTAAAATGAACAGAACAAATATTTATTTACTATTTTCTTCCCTGTGCCAGTAATTCCCTTTCCTGCTGTTTTTTATACATTAAAATCTTGAGGTATAACCTGGTTTGCAATAACCAAAGCAAGATTTTTATTTAATCCAGTGAAGACTTAAAAACTATTGAATAAATGACAGGAATGAAGCAACTTCTGTCTGTATCTGAGTAGATATTTTCAATATTTAAATAAAACATAGAGTTCTACCAATAAATTAAAGAGAAGTGAAATGAAAGTGGCTTGATTTAAAAAAAAACACCAAAAAAACCAAGAGGAAACAAGACTATTTTAAAGAGCATTTTTTGCCATTTCAATTTGATTTTCTCTCTTTTAATCTTTTAAAACACACCTGAATCATCAAGTCACTGGGCAGAATCAAAAATTTCCTTTTATAACTTTATTATCTTATAGATTTCTCCAATCTGGGGCATTGCTTAGGCATAAAATCAATATTGCAATGCAGACACATATTTTATATCCCAAATTTCCAGCTTGGCTCATGATTACCTTGCTCAAGATGTTTTCTTCAGCTAAAGCTCAGATTTTTATATCTATTTGTAGTCCAGCAGTTGTAGCTGGGTAAGATTTGAGAGGAATAAAATCACAAATGTCAACAATATCTGTGCTTTGTGATATTTTATTACTGGGATTAAACAGCCCAGAGCACAGATTATTTTTGACCTCTGGTTTTACAGTTTTTGTAAATTTGGGTGCTGTCTCTTTATTTATTTCTCAGGGAAATGCAAATTTTTGCAAAAATCAAACAGTGTGTGGATTTCTTTACACAATCCTCACTGTCACATTGTTTTTCTCCAGATAAATAACCCTGTTATTAAAAAAAAAAACAACCATATTATTTATAAAGCATAAACATTCTTAAATTTTAAATTTTTTTTTATGTTTGCTCTGGGATTTATAAATCATAAACATTCTTAAATTCTTATATTTTATTTTTTTAAGTTTGCCTTGGGCTTCCTCATGATTCATGTAGAACAAGACACAGCTTCAAACACAGAGTGCAGATAATTTGGTTTTCTAAAAGAGAGGGGGAAATACATCAATAATCACATGATTCCAGAAGTTTCTGACTTCATAGCAATAATAATGGTAATAAAATTTGGGAATATGATGAGGGAAGTGCCCAGGGAAGCTGTGGCTGTCCCTGGATCCCTGGAAGTGTCCCAGGCCAGGTTGAACATGGGGGTTGGAGCAGCCTGGGACAATGGAAGGTGTCCCTGCCATGACAGGGGTGGGATAAAGTGATTTTTAAGGTCCTTTCCATCCCAAACCATTCCAGGATTCAGGAATTAAGAGGTGACTTAATTACCAAATGTGTCCAAATTTCCAAAGAAACAAAATACTGGAAACTAAACTATGGATTTAGAATTAAAAAACCCCAAATATTTTAAGGACCAACATCTGTGCATTGAAACTACTAAAGCTCAAATCAGAATAATTCACACATTTTTAACTGGGGGTTTGATTAGCCACAGGAAAAATATTCTGAGGGAAGCAGTGATTTCTTCCAGTTTTACATCTCCAGTCAAGGCTGGGTGTCTTTGTAGAAGACAGAATTTAGGCAATGGGAAGTTACTGAGCTCAGCACAGGAGTAAAAGCCTTTGATGAGAAAATTTAGGACAGGAATAAGGAAAATTATTTCAGATTTTGGTCCATTTTATGTGTGTTTTGTATGAAATTTTGTGTGGCAGAGGAAATTAATTGGTAAAAACCTCAAAGCAGCAGTATCTACTTTGGATTCCTAAACTTGGAGAAGATATTTATATTTAATAATTATATTTGCATTAAATTGTATACTTAATATTAACATTTAATGTTAATATTTCAATATTTATATTTAATAACATGAACCACCCAAGTTACTCCTCTGATTTAATTCTCCTTCAGCTTTTAAGTCTCCAGGTGAATGAAAACCATAAACCCCATCAGCTGTGGAGGATTTGGAGAGCTTCAGCTCAAACCTAAAAAGTCTTTAATCTGCTTTTTACTTGCATGACCAGCATAGAAAATGTAAAGCAATAGGTGCAAATCCCTTGCTATGAGAGAAGCCAACAGCTGAGGGTGTTTTGGGTGGGGAGAAGGAATAATCTCCCTCACATAAACATTAAAATTTGGGAATGGCTCAGCAAATCAAACTCAGACTCACTTGAGTCTTCAGGCAAACTTGGCTTTATTTGTAACAAAACAAATCCATTCTCTTCAGCTGCAGTGGGTTAGCAGGGAAAATAGGAAAGGGGTGAAATCAAAGAGGAGAATATTTTGATATCTGTTCCAAATTGTGAGTGCTGGCTGTGCTCAGATCTCAGGTGACTTCACTGCCAAATTTTGCTTTCAGGTATTTCAGGTCAGCAGCACCTCAGTGTGTTTGGGGTTGGTTTGGTGCCTGTGAGGACTCAAGCTGGAGTTTCACACTCTGTGTTCAGCGTGGCTTTGCTGACATCAGCCTTCCTGGGCCTCTGTCCTAAACCAGGATGAGATAAAAGCGGTGTCTGAATCCTGCAAAGTTATGTTTGTGTCTGACTGGAGGCTCCTCCTTATTGGGGGAAAGAAGAGCCTTGCCCTAAAAGCCAACCTAAATCCCTGCTGGGCCAGCTCCAGCCATGCCCTGGTGCTGTCCCTGTGCCAGGAGCAGAGATCAGAGCTGGCCCTTGTGGAAGCTGCAGCCCCTGAGGAGTTTCCCCTCAGCTTCCTCTGCTCCAGCTGGACATTCCAAGTTCCCTCTCCTTGTGTGGCCCCTCCAGACCCTTCCCCCTTGTGTCCCTCCTTTTGGCATTCTCTGGGAGCTTTTCCATCTTCTATTGTGGCACCCCCAGCACTCGGGCTGAGGCCCATCAATAGCAGCTCCAGAGCTTCCTGCAGTCCTGTGAGGAGTTTGTCCATTTCCTCATCTCACACAGAACTTAAATCCAAATATCCAGGCCAGTCCAAGCCACCAGAGCTCAGCAGCAAAGCATTTTGGCTCTGGGGAGGGGACAAGGCTGGCAGGGGTTTGTGACCCGATGCCACCAAGTGCCCTCTGCAGAGGTGATGAGCACTTTGGATGAGGCTGAAATTGGGGTTGGATTTCAGGG